GTGAATCAAGAAATTCCTTTCTTGTAATGTTTATGCTCCTATATAAAGTACAGTAATTGTATGCTCCTTGAACACTACTTACAACCAAAATCATTTATTCTCTTCTTTGGGATGATAAAATTCACGTCTTCATTGACAGACTTTCATGAACATAGATTATATTACTTATAGAAAAATGTTAGGATATAAGTGATGTATCTTGATCTTATCTGTGTTTCAAGCCACATTTTAATAACTCACTACCGTAAGTTTTCCAGGGTCTCCTGGAATGACGGGGGATATACTATTGTATATTGTAATTACTGATACAGTGAAATAATTTGCTTGTATCGTATGAACAGTGTAAATACTGCATAAAGTGACAATTTAAAATTAGAATGAACTGACGGAAATAAATGGTATAAAATACCGACACAATGGCAATATGAACACAAATGCAGTATAATGTGATCCTTTATTGACTACGTTTCGCCCACACAGTGGGCTTTTTCAAGTCACAAACAGAACTACCAGGGGTGGAAGGAACGCGAGTATTTATAGTCCGGCTGAGGTCAGGTGAAGAATGCTGCATCTGATGATGTACCGAGTGGGGTTATAGAGTCTAAAAACTTGGGTAGCTTGGAAAGGAGACTGGACAAGTTTTTGAGCAGACCTTCTACAGTGTTCTTATGTGGGATAGCGATGAAGAAGTTTCTTGGCAAGTGGTTCAGCTATGTTATAGAAGCCACTATTCTGGTTGAAGTTGTCGGATATAGAAATAAGTGATGATTCCAGGATTCTTCGGTATTGAGTGTTGTCTTCTGTGGCGATAAGTCTTGAGTTTCTGTAGTTTAACAAGTGGTTGTGTGAATTACGGTGTTGTACGCAGGCATTCCTTGTGTCGTCAGACCTACTTGCGTATTGGTGTTCTGAAATACGTGTTTGGAGGTCCCTTGATGTTTCGCCCACGTATAACTTGTTGCAGTCATTGCAAGGGATTATGTATACCCCTGCAGAGGATGGAGGCTTGTCCTGCCTACTACTGGTGATGTCCTTGATGGTCGTGGTTGTGGAGGTAGATACTTGGAATGATGTTTTGGTAAAGATGTTGGAAACATGTTTGGCAATGGAGTTGGTGGGAAGGACTATGTATCTCTTCTCGGCAGTGTCTTCTCTGGGTGTGTTGAAGATGTTTAATGTTCGCCGTCTGCAGTCTCTGATGAAGTGACGAGGATAGTGGAGTTTAGAAAATATAAACTACAGAAACTCAAGACTTATCGCCACAGAAGACAACACTCAATACCGAAGAATCCTGGAATCATCACTTATTTCTATATCCGACAACTTCAACCAGAATAGTGGCTTCTATAACATAGCTGAACCACTTGCCAAGAAACTTCTTCATCGCTATCCCACATAAGAACACTGTAGAAGGTCTGCTCAAAAACTTGTCCAGTCTCCTTTCCAAGCTACCCAAGTTTTTAGACTCTATAACCCCACTCGGTACATCATCAGATGCAGCATTCTTCACCTGACCTCAGCCGGACTATAAATACTCGCGTTCCTTCCACCCCAGGTAGTTATGTTTGTGACTTGAAAAAGCCCACTGTGTGGGCGAAACGTAGTCAATAAAGGATCACATTATACTGCATTTGTGTTTATATTGCCAGAATGAACTGACATTGAAATAAAATTTAAAATATGGTATAGAGTTTTATCATTGTAGCCCTCAGGTCAATTCAGGTACACCATTTTCAAACTGCATAGTACAGTCTAGTCCTACCATGTTGGGAACAGTAAGTATGTGTCCTATGCAGGTTCCTTTATTATATATTCATGGGGAAGCACCAAGTCCATCAAGGTCATACAGCACTTAGAGAATGGAGGGTAATCAGGTTTGATTTAAAGAAACTGTAATTCCTTGGATCAAGAGTCTATCAAGCATTAAGGCACTCCCTTGAAAGATTAGGTCCCTTTAGATAAGCTTAACTTGAGTAATGGTGTAACATTCATTATCAACTCTATGTCTGGCAGTGAGGTTTCACGGGCCTCCGTAAATTTCTTGCAGATGATACACTTATAAAGTTCAGTGTGAAGACTCACTGTCACAGCACACACTTACAAAACACAGTACAAGACAAACACCTAAAGGCCAATTATCCACTAAACAATATTACTACCTGGAGGGTATTCTGGGGATCAACACCCCCACAGCCCAGTCCATGTATGTAGAGATAAAAAGTAAAGAATTAAATCTTGTATATTGCCATTTTATGACAGTATTGTATTATATTTATGGAGTAGCACTAAACCTGTATGGATCATATAGTGCCTTAAGAATGGTAGGTAATCAGATTTGATCCAAGGAAGGGGAGGCTATCTGCAATATGTTGAATTAAGTCCTTCACTAGCATTAAGGTACTAACTAGCCTTTAAGGGTAATAGGTCAAGGTGCTCTTAAATCACTTCCTCCTATCATCAAATGCATCTACTTCTCAATCACCTTCCCTCGAGATCCTTATATTATTATACGGTACATACTATAATATAATAATAATAATAATAATAATTTTATGCACTAGTATTTACAGTAAAAAACACTAAACCTGAGGAAGTCATTCAGTGCTGCATGGTACATTATTATACTCATGGGGAAGTGTTAACCAATATCTGTCATTTTACATTTGCATGGGGAAGCATTAAACCCGTGGGGTCATAATATGTATTCAGGTAGAAGTGCTAAATCTGTGGGGATCACATAACACCTGGATAATGAGAGGCAATCATGCTTGATCCCCGAGACGATAGTCCTGCATGGTGAAGAAGTGTAAAGGGCGACCTTATATGTGAAAGAAGAAACAATTAGTACACAAATAACCTGCACCTTGGAGAGAGGTTGATGATGACATTTCAGTCTGACTTGGACCCGTTACAAGTCACACTAACATACAAATCCAAGTCGGACTGAAACATTATCACAAGCTTCTCTCTCCTATGTGCAGGTTATTTATGTATTGTGCCTTTTTGTTTTTCATAATTAGTAATATACGAGTGTCAGTTAATTATCGCTATTATACAGTACTCACACCAAGTAAGCTCTAAACCTGTATGATTCGTACAGCATTACATGACAGAGAAGGCCCAACAGAGAAGCATGAAGGCTGATCTTACGTTTTAAAAAAGGAAGTCAAAGGTAGTGTAACATGCAAGTTCAAGAAATCATAGAACGAATCTGTATTGAAGGTGGGACTTTCTAAGAGTAGGGTAGCCAGAGTGAGGGTGTTGAATGTAGATGGATTGTAATGGGGGCAAAGGAACATTTGCCTTCAGTCCCAGATGTTGATGTTAACTAGCCCAAAAAAATTGAAGGAATAGTTAACTTTTTTTTTTTGGTGCAGTGTCTTTTTGCCAAGGAATATAGCCTTCTGGACATGGTGCAAACTTAGTCATCTGTTCTGTTCTGTATCATAAAATAACTATAATCATCAATTTTTGTTTCAGAAAATACAGTACAGTGGACCCCCGGTTAACGATATTTTTTCACTCCAGAAGTATGTTCAGGTGCCAGTACTGACCGAATTTGTTCCCATAAGAAATATTGTGAAGTAGATTAGTCCATTTCAGACCCCCAAACATACACGTACAAACGCACTTACATAATTGGTCGCATTCGGAGGTAATCGTTATGCGGGGGTCCACTGTACTGAGAAAATGATGAAAAGATTCAACGATGATACAGAGAAAAATGAGAAAAGCAGAACCGAGTGAAAGCTGAATTCACCAACACTGAAGATGGACAGATATATCTCTGCCCTAAAATGTGCTTCACACACTCTTGCAGGAGATAAATCACCTCCCACATCATTGTGTTATGATGCTGCTGTCCAATTTCCTCCTATTTGTCATCATTGCTGATGCTGAAGATGAACATGCAAATATGGAACTCAAACTCCAGGAAATGATAACGAGACAGGGTTAGCAGAACTAGAGCCAGTCATACATCTCCAAACCTCCAGGAGTGCCAAGAGACAATGTTAACAAATGAGTGTGGAAGACACCGAAGAAAAATCCCAACTTTTCAACATCTCAACGGACCTTGCAATGCCTCATTGAGGATTGATGATAAGGTGAAATAATGGTACACACCATAAATTTTTACTAGTGTTCATAATCTTACGAGAAGCCATATAGTTCATGACTAGTTTGCTATTTCCTATCCTTGGGCACAATTCTGTTTCACCTGCTTCATTCACTCCAAGGTTTTCCATAGAGAATTTTGCAAATGTTTCTCCAACTGGGAATATACTGAGGAATCTATTGCTCAGCACAAGAATAGCAAACATTACTTGGAAGCTATTTGAGCAATGCTGTGTGTTCAAACTCAAAATTCCAGACTGAGCATAGACTCGGAATGCACTTCCAGATACTGACGAGACAGTATTAAAGTAAGTTTCGGGTTAAGATTAAGCTGCTAGAAACCAGTGGCTTAGCATTTCATGGCAGTGACAGAACTACTGGTTCACCAATGAAAACTCTTTGGGAGTACTAGAACCTATTTCATAGTGGACTCATTCTGGCATAATATTCACTCAAGTGCATGAATGCTGGCTGAGATCAACTGTCACATCTTTAATCCACAATGAATTTACTGTCCTAGCAAAAAAATTGTAACAGAAGTCAAGATTGTGAAATAATACTCCATTTCAGTCAATTCAATGCCCAGTGTAATATATGATCAGCTGCTGGTCCTATTAGCAGTTTATTCAGTTTCTTCTGATTGAAAATCATGCTGATGTTTTGCACTTACAATATTTGCACTTTGAAACCAACCAATGTATTAGCATTATGGTTAGGGAGAAATTATTATCATTATACTCTTAGAGGATCAGTTTCTACAGCATCAGTTTGTCTTGGCACATGAAGCTCCAGCCAGTTCATCCCATGATACATATACAAATGCTTCGTTCCACCCACTACAAAAAAGGTGGCTGACAAAGGAAGGTATGGAATGAAAACAAAACTTACCAAATACCTGTATAATCAATTCTTTGATCAAAAATAGTGTCTGCCACACAGGGCAAATGCATAACAACGAGACGATCACATGGCCTTAAAGGAAATACAACTTGGATATGATCAATAGTTCTCCATATTATATACTTTAAACAGAACTTTCAGTAATAATAAATAGTGTCATTCAGCCAGGCTCTAGGCAAGAGTACCATAATATATGCCCATATATATAATGAACTCCATAAATAATTAAGAAAATACCCAGCCGAGACAATGAATCCCTCATTAAGGATAATTTATGTGAAAATCATGCTTAATGCAATTAGTTACATTAAATAATCTGATACAATTTTTTTTAACCCATGACCAACAGCCAACAAATAAAATTTAAATTCCTGAAAACTCTTGATTCATACATAACAGTAATGTAAATTACAAAAAGAGCACATGAATATGAAATACCAAGAACATGTTTACATCAATGCACTTGTTGCCTAGATCCTTATTGCCCCAAGACAAGTAGCACGGGCTTGCCTAACAACCCCTAGGTGAGTGGCTGCGCTGGTAACTGATGAACGTCCTTGGTCAAGTTTTCTTGTTAATGTCATACTACTTTTATAAAGTATTCTTATTAGAACAAGTGGTATAGTTACCATAATAGAACAAAAAATAATAATAGTATATAGAGCATACCAATAATGTTCATTTCAGCTATTAACATATTTTAAATACAGAATCATTCTTTTACTATGATCAGTGCAGAAAAAATAGTTTCCTCAACCATAACAACACAATCATTGGTGCATAAGTGACGTTAACTACCATTTACCAACGATGACACAGTGTTAACAGCCGCGGAGGGAGGACTAGGCTTACAAAAGTAGAAACAGTAGATCACACATTAAAATCACCTCTGTAGAGAAGATAGAAGGATCACCCAAAATGAATGGGAATTTACAAAACACTCTAATGATAAATCCAAAATTGCTGCAAGGATTTTTAAAGTGAATGATCAAACTTTTTAATTCCATCAGAATAAGAAAAACCTGTCTAAAAAAAAAAAAAAAAAAAAAAATACCCCAATTCTGAGAAAAATAAAATGAAATGAACCTAACCACACATGCCTCCACAATCTGATATCAGCAAAGAATCACTGGGTTCTTCTTAAAGGAACCCCCATTTTCTGGACAATTAGATAAACTGCCAGTAAAAGGACCATTTATTATGACGATTATAATATCGCCAAATTACAGTACTGTATATGCAATGGAATTGCAGACTGTTAGAAAGCACCTAAAGTGTTACCACCCAAGCTTGCTTTTTTTCCCTTTCATTTTAATATTGCATAAATTCCTAAAAAATTCAACAATCTTAAAACACTCTTTATATGTGCTGGAACTTGTGTGTGGTTACCTTTTAAGGTTAAAATTATTCTTTGGCCTTATAACTTAAAACAAATAGGAAAAAAAATCACCTGGGAAGTAGCCAGGTTATCTGTATAGCTACTTTTCAAGCAGGAACTGGATATATTACTGATTTTTAAGCATTTCATACAGCCATAACAATTACGATCTTTGAAATTAACTAGAATTTATTGCAAGCATCATAAGCATTTTCTAATCCTGCTCATTTCCTTTAAGAAATATGCATTCCTACCCAGTGGAATGATACTTTCAGTGTAAAAAGTCTTCATTCTTTCCACAAGGCCTTACTGGCCACTTATTTTCTGCTTCAAGTGTCTCATTGATCACTTCATGTTTTCACAAAGCTGGTTATCTGTTTTGTGACACTATGAAGCTATATGCACTATGTCCCTCTACCAGTGGGAGCTGTGTCCAGAGTAGGGATGTTGAATCACATATCACCAAGCATTATCTCATTGCAAAGACCAGAGCAACACCACTAACGAGTCCTGTCAGAGACGGCTAATCTGTGTGGCCTGAAATCGTGTGTTTCATGCCCATTAGCAGGCGTAGGCCATCATAAGAAACAGAACCATATTCTTGTAGTTTTCATATCCCTGGTTTGTGTGATCCACAAACTTAGAAACAGGGATGAGAACTTAATTATTCTCATCATTAGAACCTTTTGCTTGTCTCCTAATTAGTGCTTTTGCAATCTCGGTCCTGAGGGCATCATGCTGCTTCTGGTCTGGTAGGGGCTGGACAGAGCGGAGACCATTGACAATGTCCTTCGTCTTGCCAAAGTAGATCTCATTGAGCGTATTGCGGATCTTGTTCTCCATGTCTTCTACCATACGACCAATATTAGCAATGTGTGGAGATGACTCTGAAACAGGGCAGTCCTGTTCCATCTGTTGATATAATAAATATTTTATTATTTACATATAAAACTGCTACAATTTTTTTCTGCACTTAAAAGTCTACATTATTAAATAAGAATATATTGTATGCACCTGCAATGAAAAAGTAGTTATATGTACATGTATAAGCAAGGTTATTGCATATAAACTGAACATTTTAACTAAATGGCACATTAACAATGAAAAATCAATGATAATAATTGATTGAATAATGATGGTGATTAAATGACTGACAATGTGGCCCTATAAACCCTAACAACAACAACAGTAACAACAACTGATGATGATGATACCAATAAATTTTGAATCCTTGGATTACTGTACTTGTAATACATTTTGAGAGCCAGAGAATACAGCAAATGAATAGGCAACAAGAGTACTGTAGCTTTATGGATGACAACAAGGAGGGTAAATACTAGTGAAAATACTTTATGGATTGCAGCAATTACCCTGAAAAAAATGCAACTGAGGAAGATACTAACAGTTAGGTACTGTACAACTGAACCCCAGAAATCACAGTCTTTGTATCCTACATGATTTGTTTATACAATTTTAGTGAAGGCTTTTTGCAAATCTCTTCAATTATTTATCCTATCTTAGTGTCCACTGCCTTTTTGTTTTTGTTTTTAGCTTGGCACATACCTTAACTGAAAAAATAGTGATAAATTTTCTTATGAATGCCAATATTAAGTGGATTAGAGCAGTATATAATGAGTGTTTTTTAACACAACAACTGTCTCCCATCGAGGAAAGTTAACCCAAAAAAGAAGCACGTGAAATTTTTGTTCATTTTATGTTCAGTAATTTATATTTTAGTCGCCTCTTACGACACACATGGCCTATGGAGGAAGGATTCTTCTTCACCGAATATATAATGAGAAATAGGCATGTAAACGTTTAAAATATTTCAGACATGCAAAATTCCCTATTATTTGTTGCTTTTGGATTCATGTCACTTCAAGGAACCTAACCCCCAACAAATTATGGGGCTCGATTATGCTTGTATCAGTTCTCACATCAGAAGTATCAGAGTGACAAGTTAAGTGTGAGTCAAAAGTGGGAAGCTAGAGCTTAAAGAGAGAGAGAGAGGAGGAAAAGAAATTTAATTTAGTGAAATTTCCAGTGATGGGAGAGAGAAGCAAGAAGTAGAAAGAAACTAATGATGAAATAGATTACACAGGGGCTGCAGGTATAGATTCAAGAGTTGTAATATAGAGGGGGCAATGATGAAAATTTTTTTTGATCTCAATAGATGTCTCCCGTCAAGGCAGGTAACCCAAAGAAAACACATTCACTTTTATTCATTCAATAACTGTCTTTCCAGAAGTATGCTGGCATCACATTTCAAATTACCTCCTAATTGCAACATCCCCACTCCTCCTTCAGACGTGCATGCACCGCCTTTAAGTTCAGCTAACCAATTTCCCTGAATCCTCTCATGATGGTATCCTTGCTCACACTCCAACAGCCCAGAATGTTCATTAAGTACCACATTTGCACAAGTCTACCTGATGTCCAAGCCACAAAATCTCAAAGCCTCTTTTATCCCTTCCCTCCAACCATACCTGGGAAGACCCCTCTCCATCCTACCTTCCACACCAGATTCATGCACCCTCTTTGTCATCGCACATTTTTCCATCCTTTCTACATACCCAGACTAACAATTCCTCCTCCTCAGCCCTTTTGTACTCTTGGTGACCCCACACTGAATTTGCTAAACCTGGGTACTGTATTTAACATAAGAAGAACATAAGAACGAAGGAACACTGCAGAAGGCCTACTGGCCCATGCGAGGCAGGTCCAAGTCCCTACCGGCTTAAGCCAATGCACCCAACCTAGTCAGGTCAGGTCACATTGACTTAAGGGAGGAACACGGCAACCGACCTGGTAGCACAAGCTATCACGTCTAACTCACACCCACCCACATCTACTCATGTATTTATCCAACCTATTTTTAAAGCTACACAACGTTCTGGCCTCTATAACGGTACTTGGGAGTTTGTTCCACTCATCCACAACTCTATTACCAAACCAGTACTTTCCTATATCCCTCCTGAATCTGAATTTTTCCAACTTAAAACCATTGCTGCGAGTCCTGTCTAGGCTAGATATTTTCAGCACACTATTTACATCCCTTTATTTATTCCTGTCTTCCACTTATAAACCTCAATCATATCCCCCCTAATTCTACGTCTTTCTAGAGAGTGCAGTTTCAGGGCCCTTAGTCTATCCTCATAGGGAAGGTTTCTGATACATGGGATCATCTTTGTCATCCTCCTTTGTACATTTTCCAGAGAATTTATATCCATTCTGTAATACGGTGACCAAAACTGTGCAGCATAATCTAAATGAGGGCCCAACCAAGGATGTATAGAGTTGAAGAACAACCTGAGGACTCCTATTATTTATGCTTCTTGATATGAAGCCAAGGATTCTATTAGCTTTATTGCGAACACTTATGCACTGTTGTCTTTGTTTCAGATTACTGCTAACCAGAACTCCTAATCTTTTTCGCAATCCGTAATATTAAGATCTACATTATTTAGTTTATATGTGGCATGGTTATGTCCTGTCCAACATTTAGAACTTTGCATTTGTCTATATTAAACTGCATCTGCCACTTCTCCGACCACTGCATCATCTATTTAAATCTTCCTGGAGTGCTCGAATGTCCTCGTCAGAATGAATTCGACGGCCTATTTTGGTGTCATCGGCAAACTTGCCGATGTCGCTCTTTATGCCTCATCTATGTCGTTTATGTAGATTGTGAACAGCAGGGGCCCAACACTGACCCCTGTGGAACACCGCTCGTGACGCTTCCCCACTCTGATTTCTCCCCATTTATGCAAACTCTCTGCTGCCTATTTGTCAACCATGCCTCTATCCAGGAAAAAATTTCTCCTCCTATTCCATGTGCTTTAATTTTCCTCAATAGTCTCTGATGTGGGACCCTGTCAAAAGCCTTACTGAAGTCCATATACACAATATCATATTCATTACCATGATCTACCTCCTCAAATACCTTAGTGAAAAAAGTTAATAAATTCGTAAGGCAGGAACGCCCCTTTGTAAAACCATGCTGAGATTCGTTGATTAATTTATGCTTTTCAAGGTGGCTACGAACTGCCTCGGCAATTATTGATTCCATAAATTTTCCCACTATGGAGGTTAGGCTTATTGGTCTATAGTTCGAAGCTAAGGACCTGTCACCTGTTTTGAAAATAGGTATCACATTTGCCATTTTCCACTTATCTGGCACCATGCCAGTTTGTAGTGATATGTTGAAAAGATTAGCCAAAGGTGTGCTAAGCTCCTCTTTACATTCCTTAGAACCCTTGCATACAGTTCATCAGGGCCTGGGGATTTGTTAGGTTTTAATTTATCTATTTGCCTAAGGACCATGTCACTTGTGACCCTAATAGTGCACAGTTTATTATCGTCCTGTACTACATAATTTATCATTACTGGAATATCGCTGGTATCCTCCTGTGTAAAAACTGAGAGGAAGTATGTGTTAAAAATTCTACACATTTCCTTATCACTGTCAGTGAGCTGACCCGAGGAACTTTTGAGTGGGCCTATCTTGTCCCTGATCTTACTTCTGTATACCTGAAAGAATCCTTTTGGGTTAGTCTTCGATTCTCTTGCAACTTTAACCTCATAATCTCTATTTGCTTTTCTAATTCCCTTTTTTATTTCTCTCTTTAACTGAAATATATCGATTTCTTAATTGCCCCTCTCCTCTTTGATTTGCCTATATATGCCTCTCTTTTGACCAATCAGATATTTTAATCTATTGTTCATCCATTTAGGATCATTTTTGTTTGATCTGATTTCCCTATTTGGAACATAATTTGACTGAGCAGCTAGAACTATGCCTGGAAAGCATCATATCGGCAACCATCACCACCTACCTGACCCCTAGTCAGGTCATTCCAGTTCAGCCCACCTAAGTAATTTTTCAGTCCTATGAAATCACCAAGCGAAAGTCAGGGACGGAGACTTGATTGCCATTATTAGGGGAATTCCATGATATGTTTAAAACTGAGTGATTTGTGATCACTCTCCCCAAGCTCATCATTAACCTCAAGATTATTAATTAGTGTTTCCCTACTGGCAAGAACCAAGTCAAGGAGGTTATTTCCCCTAGTTGGCTCTGTCACAAACTGTTTTAAAAAAACAATCCTGGATCGTATCAAGAAAGTCACCCGACTCTAAATTTCCTGTCAAATTGCTCCAGTCAATCTGTCTATAATTGAAATCTCCCATTAGCACAACATTTTCGTATGTAGATGCCTTACGAATTTCGTCCCATAGAAGTTTACTGCACTCCCTATCAAGATTTGGGGCCCTGTAAATCACACCCAAAATTAGTTTTCTCGGCCCTCGAGAAGCTGTAACCAAACAGATTCAGTGCTGACGCTTCTAATTTAATATCTTGTCTAACACAACAATTTAAATTGTCTCTGACATACATCGCTACTCCACCACCTTTCCTGTTGACCCTGTCATGTGTGGAATAATTTATAGCCTTGTATGTGACATTCAGAGGGCATCTCTCTATCTTTCAGATTGAGCCAGGTCTCTGTTATAGCAATAATATCTATGTTTCCTGCACTTGCAATTAATCTTAGCTCATCTATCTTATTTCTAACACTCCTGCTATTAGTATAGTAAACCTTAAGGGAGCTAGTCCCCTTGCTGCCCTCTGCTGTCCCCCTTTGTTGCTGACCTGTTCTATTGTCTTTATTTATAACTTCATGCTGAATGCCTTTTATACATTTACTGTTTCCAACCCTAGTGTTGCAACCTGCTTGTTTCCCACACACACCCATACCTCTACTTCCATCAGTTTAAAATCATAGGCATTTCACCAATGGCCTTCTCAATCGAGTCTGCAAGTGCTACCACCCCTGCCCCAGAGAGATGAACCCCATCCCTTGCATACATATCATGTTTGCCATAAAAGTTGTTCCAGTTGTCAATGAATGGGATTGCAAGTTCCTTGCAGTATCTGTCTAGCCAGCAATTTACACCAATTGCCCTAGACAACCATTCATTTCCTACTCCCCTTCTAGGCAAGATGCTACATATGATTGGATCCCTCCCTTAGACTTAATGAAATCTATAGCTGACCTGTACTTATCTAGCAGCTCTTCTCTCCTACCCTTCCCAATATCATTTCCACCAGCACTGAGACAGATAATGGGCTTGTTCCATTACCTGACATGATATTATCCAGTCTGTTGACAATGTCCCCAACACCAGCTCAGGGAAGCACACTCTATCTCTCATCTTCTTATTCCTATTACAAAAGCACGATCAACATATCTTACCTGAGAGTCACCAACCACAGAATGCCTTACCTTCATTAGCAGGGGCAGTAGTACCCTTACCTTCACTGGCCACTGAAGTACATTCATCCTGGAGAACAGAGAAGCGATTTCCTACCTTCAGATCTGCACTCTTAACTTTCCTTACTCTGATGCGCCTCCCATTACTGTGAACAACTCGCCACTTGTAGCAGGTGCTGGGCTGCACCTCACTGCTGGTAGCCGTTGCTACCACCCCACCTACAGCCTCCTCACAGTGAGAGACAGACTGCACCTCACTGCTAGAAGCCTCATTCCCCACATCTCCAACCACCTCACACTCTCTCCCAGGCCCATTGAGGTGGACCTTCAGCCTCCTAATCTCCTCCTGGAGAAGCAAGACCTCCTCCTTCAACTCTCCAACCTCAGCTTTTAAAACACTGTAGAAGCAAGCCATGCTTTGTAACCGTCCACGCTAATCCCCAAGCAGCTCAGGGTCTGTGACCTCACGTGACGACTGACCACTGAACATGCCACATAAAGCATGTTACCCCTTTCACAAAATGTTATTATTGATATATATGGCTAAATTAAAATACTTGAGATATTTTCTTTTATTTATTGTATTTGAACATTGTGCATCTCTAATGACTATTAACCAAAGATGTCAAGAACATCAGTGGGATGGATGGAGTTGCATACTTGAAGCTAGTTTAGGAATTCTTGGCTTCATACCAGCTTATGTCTACCTCGGCTGATGCTCACAGATAAACTGACAGTGTGAAATAGAGGCAGCCTCAGGAAGTGAGTGACGCGTACTGGACAGGTCGATCTGGGCTACTGAGTGACTTTTGTCCTGAAGCATACTTGTCAAAATACTTTTGGGTTTCCACACACTTAGCTATATATTTCTTCTTTTCTAATACTGTATATTAGTTTTTGATGTTTATTGTTATTTGGTTTAACTTTATTACTTACTTATAATAGGTTTACTTTACAACTTTATATACTAAGACAAAGTTAACAATAATCCTCATACCGGGTACTGCATTGTTTTCTTGATTTTCAGAATTCATAACTTTTTTTCTGTCACCCCTCCATTAGCCCCCAAAAATGGTTAAATTACCCCCAGGGGGTAATTTACCCCCAGTTTGGAAACCACTGCTCTATGGAAAGAGGAGACAAAACTGAACAAATTCAACCTGTTAAAAATATATATATATATTTTAGAGAGGCCATGTAATGTTTCTCAAATCAATGTTAAGTGAATAGAACTAGTAGTTTTACAGTGGAAACGCATATGGAAGCAGGAAATACGGAATGTTTCAGCGTCATGTGAATGTCATAGAATGTGTTTTGGATGCAGAAAACCCGTAGCCATGTGAAGTGGCCAAACACAAGATTGTGTTACTAGTGTGTACTCCAAATAATCATCAGTTAACTGTACAAACCAACATATGTAATGCTGGTATTGCAGCACATCTGCAAGTCAAGATTTCTCCAACCATGATCAATGCTTATGAGGAAAAAATTGTATGTATAGAATCTACCAAGCTCATTTCTCACACTAGAAAAATTATTAAAGTAACAATGCAGTACATACATACATCTAAATAGTTTCCTATACTACAATTTTTTGTATTAACATGCAGTGGGAATAATAAAAGCATAAACATAAAGAAGTATTGATACCATTCCCATTATCAGCCTATATATATTAACATGGTAAGTCAACTAACTGATGCCACACAACGTTAGGAAGGTGAAAAAAGATGGCTTATAGTTTTCCAGCCTTATACTGGTATAACTGAAAATTGTGCAGGTTTTTTGTGTTTTATATGTTTGCACCTTAAAAAATCTTTGCTATTAATATTATTGTGACTCAAACCTTCACTCACAGCATATCAGAAAAATCATTACTGGGTTTATCAAAGTGAAAGAGAGTAACTAACAGGACTATAAATACAGCAATCCTTAATATTTTTGCACATTTAATATAAGGAAACTACAGATCACAAAATTAATGAGAATATGATCAGAACATAAGGTCAAAGTACTGAAATGTAACAATTTAACAGAGAAATCAGGATATGAACTCAGTCTGGGATTACAGTTTGCTGCGTTAGCAAATTGCGCTTTATAATTTCTGTGGAACAGCTGGCTATAGAGTCAGGCTGGTAGTCCTAGCCTGGAGGTTCGAATCCAACCACACAAACTGTTGCATTTGTTCAGAACAATTTTCAGTAAAATGATAAGTGATTTGAGAAGGGACAAAAACTAGAATTGGTTGCTGGATGCTTGAAGATTCAGGGTTTCTCCATAAAAGCTCACTAAGTCACAGTTAATGAACATCAACCTGTCCAGTATTCGGGTTCGGGAAACCCTTATACTCTTTGTGGTGCAGTTGGCTAAGGTGACAGTCTGTTAATCCCAGATAAACAATGTAGACATTCCAGGCACTAGAACAATGTTCCCCCCTCTTTATTAATCATGTCCCCAGGCCTTTTCTGTATTATGCTTGCCTTCCATTGAACCCATAAAAACAAAAAATCAAAGATTTATCCTAATTCTCAGATAATAAAATAGAACTAGAAATGATTGGTCATGATTTACAGCATCACAATAATCAAATCAAACCTATTAAAAATTCATAAAGCAGACTGGGGGGGTGTAGGGGTACCTGGGCCCAGTCCAATCCAATCAGGAAGGCAGGCAGACATGTCTGACCCTGCCTAGTTCTGCCCTGAAGGCCAAGCAGTGTGGCCTATGACTCAGAAAACAATAAAAATGGACAAGTCCTAAACATGGCTGCTCTGGTCCATACTGGACAAACATCAGAATCATCAGGCTTGGTCTGATACTTCGGAAGACAACCGGACACTACTGAGATGGACAAAATTCAAAATTAGACTGTCTAGCCAATTTTTTTGTGCAAAATTACCAAAATTCATTAATGACAGGTTTTACTATATTAGGAAGCGAGTATGTTTAATAATTTTATAGATTTATGTTTAACATTAAAGTATCAGAGATGTGTAATACACTGACCTGTCTGGTAAGAGAGCCACCAAGGTTCATTGTGCCAGATCCCTGTTTGTTAGTTTGTAGCCATAGCATCGCAGTCGAAGTGAGCTTGTAGTGCGCTGAACGTCCACTTGATTTTTCTACTACCTCAACAACATGGATGCTGTCCCAGCAACCTTTAATTTTCTTACTACCATCACCAGCTTTCTTTATAAGAATAACACCTGCAAGAAAATGAAAAGCCAGTTAAATCTGGTAATGCATAACTACATGCCATTTATGATCATTCCTTTTCAGATCTGAGAAGTAATTACATTTTAGAATCCTATCAAACATTTCATTTACTATTTTTACTGCCTAGTCTTAAAATATGTAATTTGTAATTCTTAACCCTTAAACGGTCCAAACGTATATATACGTTCACTTGCGCAGTGCCCCGAATATTTTGACAAAAAAAAAAAATTATTTTTTTAATAGAAAAAAAGAGCACAGGGTACTAAGTGGTCCCAGTTTTTTAATATGGTGCACACCGAGTGTTCAGACCCATTCTATGCTGACCAGGCATCTCAGGGCAATTGTGCCAAATTTGGAGGCAGGAAAATTAAAACGTATATATACGTTTGGGGGTGCTACGTGTGAGGACGTATATATACGTTTGGACCGTTTAGGGGTTAAGAATGATAGAAAAACCACAATAAACAAAAACTTAAAAATATAATTTTAGAGGAGTGTCAGTGCTAGAAATAAAAATGTAATGTACAGTGGGACTTCAGTTTTCGTCTTTAATTCATTCCAGAGAGTCTGACGAAAATTGAAGCAATATTTCCCATAAGAAATAATGTAAATCTAATTAATCCATTCCAGACACCCAAAAATATCATCACTACCACCCTCTACCACCATCACTACCACCATTGAATTCTAACGTGTTTCTCGCCTTCTTTATCAAAGGGCTGGCACTCAGAACTTTCTTTGGCCCCATGGTGGCTTATTTAGCAGTCACAATCAATAAACAAGCACAAAAAGAATGGATTATTATGAAATGTTTTGTATGAATGTGCAGGGTAATGTTCACTCGACGAGAAACAAAGCTAGAATGACTCAAAATGCATGTGTGGGATGCTTTGTGTGGGCGCAGGCAGATGAACACATTCGGCATGGTGGACGAAAACCAAGGTGATGAGCAAAAACTGGGGCAATATTTTGAGGAAAAAAGTCGTTGAAAACCGAATTCGGCGAAAACCAGGGCAAACGAAAACAGAGGTTCCATTGTACACTTATTATAAAAGGAACTGCTAAAGCACAAATGCACAATTAATTTTTTGCAAGGAGAAACCACACTACTGTAGTCTGGAAGAAACCAAGCAATGCATAATGCACAGAGTTAAAATTTACTCTCCTATAATTTATTTCCATGCAATTGTTGAATTATTGCAATAGTTATTATAGCAGTGAGATACGTACTGTACCACAAATATATTCAACAATCATGCTGCACCCATTTATATTAGTATACATTAATATATTCACAAAAAAAATCACCATTCCTAAGTTGCTATCAATAAGTTCACCCCGGTTGGCTAGTATGGTTGGCTACATTTTTTTTTTTTTTGTCAGAATATCATGGCTGTTCAGTTATAAGATCAAGAAGAAAAGCTAGGTGTACATAATTAATGGCACCTTGCCACAAAAACAAATGTCAACTGTTCATGCCTTCCTAAAAAGAGTGATTTTACTTTTGTTTTGAATGACATTTGTTTTTTTGTGTAATGTTTACATGCTCATAAGTTGGTAGACAGCAACCGCCCAGGGAGGTACTACCATCCTGCCAAGTGAGTGTAAAACGAAAGCCTGTAATTGTTTTACATGATGGTAGGATTGTAGGTGTCCTTTTTTCTGTCTCATGAACATGCAAGATTTCAGGTATGTCTTGCTACTTCTACTTACACTTAGGTCACACTACACATACATGTACAAGCACATATATACACACCCCTCTGGGTTTCTTCTATTTTCTTTCTAGTTCTTATTCTTGTTTATTTCCTCTTATCTCCATGGGGAAGTGGAACAGAATTCTTCCTCCGTAAGCCATGCGTGTTGTAAGAGGCAACTAAAATGCCGGGAGCAAGGGGCTAGTAACCTCTCTCCTGTATAATTACTAAATGTAAAAGGAGAAACTTTCTTTTTTTCCTTTTGGGCCACCCCGCCTCGGTGGGATACGGCCGGTGTGTTGAAAGAAAGAATATATATATATATATATATATATATATATTATATATATATATATATTATATATTTTTTCAACAAGTCGGCCGTCTCCCACCGAGGCAGGGTGACCCAAAAAAAGAAAGAAAATCCCCAAAAGAAATACTTTCATCATCATTCAACACTTTCACCACACTCGCACATTATCACTGTTTTTGCAGAGGTGCTCAGAATACAACAGTCTAGAAGCATACACATATAAAAATACACAACATATCCCTCCAAACTGCCAATATCCCAAACCCCTCCTTTAAAGTGCAGGCATTGTACTTCCCATTTCCAGGACTCAAGTCCGACTATATGAAAATAACCGGTTTCCCTGAATCCCTTCACCAAATATTACCCTGCTCACACTCCAACAGATCGTCAGGTCCCAAGTACCATTCGTCTCCATTCACTCCTATCTAACACGCTCACGCACGCTTGCTGGAAGTCCAAGCCCCTCACCCACAAAACCTCCTTTACGCCCTCTCTCCAACCCTTTCGAGGACGACCCCTACCCCGCTTTCCTTCCCCTATATATTTATATGCTTTCCATGTCATTCTACTTTGATTCCATTTCTCTCTAAAATACCATACCACCTCAACAACCCCTCTTTCTGCCCTCTGACTAATACTTTTATAACTCCACACCGTCTCCCCTAATTTATCAGCACACACTCCCGAATTTTCCTGCATAATTTTACACCACACATTGCCTTAGACAGGACATCTCCACTGCCTCCACCGTCTCCTCGCTGCTCAATTATACCACGCAAGCTTCACATCCATATAAGTGTGTTGGTACTACTATACTTTCATACATTCCCTTCTTTTGCGCTCCATAGATAACGTTTTTTTTGACTCCACATATACCTCAACCACCACTCAGACCCTTATTTTTTTCCCTCATCAATTCTATGATTTAACCTCATCCTTCAATAAATCTTCTGCCGACACGTCAACTCTCAAGTAATCTGAAACATTCACTTCTTCATACTCCCCTCGCCCAATTTTGATATCCAATATTTATTTATCTAAATCATTTGATACCCTCATCACCTTACACTTTTTCTATGTTCCCTTTCAACTTTCTTCTACCTTTACACACATTCTCAAACCTCAACCACTAACCTTTGCAATTTTTTCTTTAGAAATCTCCCATAAGCACAGTATTCATCAGCAAAAGTAACTGTGTCAATTCCCATTTTTGAATTTGATCCCCCATAATATAATCCCACCCCTCTCCCGATACACCCTATTCATTTACTTCTTTATTTTAGACAACCCCATCTATAAATAATTAAACAACCATGTGACATTAACACATCCCTTGTCTTAAACCCTAACTTTACTGGGAAGTATTCTCCCTCTCTTCTACACACCCTAACCTGAGCCTCACTATCCTCATAAAAGCTCTTACAGCATTTAGTAAAACTTACCACCTATTCCATAACACTTGCAACATCTGCCACATTGCTCCTCTATCCACGTCTATCATATGCCTTTTCTAAATCCATAAAGCAATAAAAACTTCCCTACCTTTATCTAAATACTGTTGTCACCATATATGCTCAATGTAACACTTGATCTACACATCCCCTACCCACACTGAAGCCTCCTTTGCTCATCCGCAATTGAACAATTTCTTTCTTACCTCTAATTCTTTTCAATTATAACTCAAAACCGAAACTTTTCTGGTATACTCAGTAAACTTATCTCTATAATTTTTTACAATCTCTTTTGTCCCCCCTTTCCCCTTTATATAAAGGGACTATACATGCTCTCCGCCAATCCCTAGTACCTTTCCCTCTTTCATAACATTTATTAAACAAAAGTACCAACACTCAACACTATATCCCCCCCCTGCCCCTTTTAAACATTTTCTGTCATGATCCCATCAGTTCCAGCTCTTTACCCCTATTCATTCATATGTAAATGCCTCACGACCTCCACCACACTTACATCTGCTCTTCTACATCTCCTAAAAGATGGTATACCTCCCCTGGCCAGTGCATGAAATTAACCGCCTCCCTTTCTTCCTCACATTTAAAAGTTCCTCAAAATATTCTTGCCATCTACCTAATACTCCCTCTCCCCATCGTACTAACTCTCCCCCTACTCTGTTTTTAACGGACCAAATCCATACTTTTACCTAGGCTTTCTTAACTGTTTAACATCACTCCAAAATTTTTTCTTAATTTCAATAAAATTTCCTTGACATGCCTCTCCGCACTTTCATCTGTGCTCTCCTTGCACTCTCCACCACCCTCTTCCCCTTTCTTTTTACTCTCCATATCCTGCTCCTTCTTATAACACTTCTGCTTGTAAAAACCTCTCGTAAGCTACCTTTTTCCCTCCTTTTATCACAACCCTTTACTTCATCCATTCCACCAATCCACTCCTCTTTCCTCCTGCCCCACCCTCTATAAACCACAAACTCTGCCCCACATTCTAATACTGCATTTTTAAAACTATCACAACCCTCTTCAACCCTCACTACACATCTTTGCACTAGCCCACCCTTATCTGCCAATAGTCGCTTATATCTCACCAACTCCATCCTCCTCCCTTAGTTTATAACACTTTCACCTCCCTCTTACTTGTTGTTGCCAGCCTTCCTTTTCCATCTAACCTTTATCTCTAACTGTAGCTACAACTAATAATGACCCGATATTATCAGTTGCCCCTCTATAAACAATGTACATCCTGAGCCTACCCATCAACCTTTTATCCACCAATACCATAATCTAACAAATCTTTCATTACGAGCTACAATCATACCTTGTATATTTATTTATCCTCTTTTTTTCATAAAATATGTATTACTTATTACCAAATATTCTTTCTACACATAGCTCAATTAAAGGCTCCCCATTTACATTTACCCCTGGCACCCAAATTACCTTTCTCCCTGCCATAACATTTTACGCCACTTTAGCATTGAAAAATCCCCAACCACCATTATCTCACACTTGAT